TCAAAAAATCTTTATCTTTTAAACCTCCATTGTAATTGCTAAATGTGAGCCAGTGATCTGAGCTTCATATTCTGCTTCATTGTTGGTGCATGGATCTGAGAAGTGATATGTGAATCTCAACATTCCTCGACAAGAGTGATGAGGATTAGCTTGATTCTTGCTTTGCAAGGGATGGTTTCATGCAAATTAGCATCTTTCTTGGAGGATGAAGCTCCATCAAAATAAAATTCCCAATAAGGTTTATCTTGTTCTTTGAGATTTAAGATGTGTTCATCAGGAGATCACATTGAGAAAGGAGTTTGTAGGTAACTAATGTGCTGTAAGGAAGTCTGCTAAATCTTGACCCTTAATGACATGTAAGGGTACATAAGTTATATCAAATTGTAATGGAATCATTGACCATTTTGCAAGTCTTCCTGATAGTGTTGGGTGAGTCATCAAATATTGTAAATGATTGAACTTAGAAATGAGAATGATTTTTATGAGATATCATGTAATGCCTTATTTTATGGACTGCAAAAAATAAGGTCAAACAATGCTTTTAAATCTGAGTATAATTCTCTTATGTTGGTTCATTCGATGACTCAAGTAATATAATGGATTCTCTTTTCCATCCTCATTAACTTGAGCTAATAAGGTGCCAATAGATTTATCTAAAGCAGTAGTGTATAATATCAGTGGTCAACCCAAGATAGGTGTCACTAATATAAGAGGTGTCGTCAAATATTATTTTATGTTTTCAAATGCTTGTTGACATTTGTCATCCCAAATATATTTGGCATTCTTTTTTTCTATTAGTGTGGAGATTGGTTGACATATTACAGAGAGGTTAAAGATAAAGCATCTTAGATATGCATGTTGGCATCAATTTTTGATGTCACATGCGTGGAATGCCTGCTTGAGCACTATGAAACCATACTTGATGTATGTTTTGATTCCCATAGTGCAAGAAATCCATTTAAGACCCTCGAACATGTGTTGAGAGGCATGCAATCAGGTTCATTCTTCTAGACTCTGGCTGTCGCTTAAGTAAAGACCGACTGACATTTTTTCTGTCAGATGGCTTTGATCGGACCAACGTATCACATTCAGCACTTTGCATGCAAATTGGACTTAAATTGGCTCGACCATTAAAAAATTTATCCAGATATCCTCAAATGACAAAGTGGTCTATTTGAGCACATTTGAAATGTTGCTTTTGCCTAGGAAGAAAAGCTTTATTGTTGGGCTCCAGGTGCGAGTCAATAATATACAAATCAAGGCATTTAAACTTAAAAAAAATTAATTAAAAATCCAATATTAGATTACAATATTATGGAATTCCCTCATAGAGAAAAAAGGGGGCTCGCCATTCACGTGCACAAACATGCCTGCGGGTGAGCGATTGCGGTTGTGAGCGCACACCTGCAGATGCGCCTACGCTCAACTGTACACCTCCCTACACCCTGCTAGGCCACGTGCACACCTACACAACTCAACCAAGCACCTGTGCATAAATCACCCATCCATTCACACTTGTATGCAAGCTAACCCAACTGCACGTGCATGCACGCTCGGACGCACCCAACCGCCTGATCCCCGACATAGTGTGTGCATTCTTAGTGTGTAATTATTTCAATTTCAGTCTCAAAAGATGGTACCAAAAACTTGATGCAGCAGGGGCAGTGAAATGTTTAATTCTTAATTGAATATTATGTATCAAATAATGCTCATTTTCTTTTCACAATTTAATTTTATACACTAGGGATATGACGCGGTATCATTTTAAGTAATAAAGGACTTTCTTTTTAAGCCCTAAGTATCGATCACATGGGTAAGGCAAAAACTTTTTTATGAACTTAGTAAAACTTTACTTAAACTCCAAAAAATTATCTAGGAGATAATTTTATGTGTAAAACTTTACTTAAACTCCAAAAAATTATCTAGGAGATAAGTTTATGTGTAAAAAGAAGTAATTAATTTCTACAAGTCCTATTTCAAAGCTTAAAGAAAATGTTAAGTATTTTTAAACTAGTTAAACAAGCTTAAAGAAAATGTTAAGTATTTTTAAACTAGTTGAACAAAGAAGAGTTCAAATTTTGTAAAAGTCTTTCCCCTTGAAATGAGATCATAATCAGTGTAGAAATCAAATGCTTAAGGCTTAAATGAAGTTTGTGACAAATAGAAGCAATTCTATTATTTACCCTCTTTTGACTGTATAAAGAACATTAGCTAACCAAGAGTTAAGTTCCTAATTCTAAGGTTATTCTAAGGTTATGTTGGGTAGGGTTGGGTAGGTTCTAGCCTCTCACTTCAAGATTACCCATTGTGTCCTCTCTTTAGAACTAACTGATCCTTAAGTTCTAAAATCTAGATCAAATAGGTTAAGGTTCTAGTTTGTGACCCTAGAATCATAAATTTACACCAAAATTTACACCAATCAAATATTATCTCCCTATCTATTTGCACTAACCAATGGGTTGCCTTATCACCCAATATAGATTACCTTCGCACCCATGAGATTAATGTGATTCATACTAGTTGAGGAATACATAGCCCTCCTGGGTCATTATAGCTTCACTAAAAGTTTTAACATACCAATTTGCTAGATTGAATATGTAAATTAAGGACGAAGTACTAAATCATCACAAGTATGGAATAAGAGAAATCATAAATTCTAATCCTACACAAGATTATTTCTTATTGCAAGGAGAAAGATAAATAAAACTACTCAGGTCCCATGAAGATAACACAATAAAGCATGACTTATATTAAAATTCAGGTTCACACAATAAGCAAAACTCAAACAAGAATACAAAATACTTATCTTAAACTTCTCCCCAAGAAAATCCTCTGAAGTTCCTTTGATGATTTCTCAACTCTCTTTACAATTTCACTCCAAGACACACACACACACAAAATGCTCTCCCTCACACACACGCACACCACATCACACACACACACACACAAAAAGCTCTCCCTCACACACACGCACACCACATGACACACACTCTTCTCTTCTTTTCAAACACACTTCTTGGCCTCTCTTGACTCTATATATGATAACTCTCAAAATCCCCAAGAGTAACGTCAAATGCCTCTTCAATTTTTTTCCACATTCAATGCATAGTCATCAAAACCAATTATGGCCCTTAGAAACCCAATATAGAACCCTGGCGCAACCTTCTAGAAGCCCAATATAGCACCCTGGCGCCTAGGTGCCAGATTTTGGAGCCATGGCGCCGGGCTCATCTATTTTCACGTATGGGTCTAGCGCCTAGGTGCCAAAAGCTGGCACCTAGGCATCAGTTCATTTTGTGTTGCCTTGCTCTGATTGACCCCGTTTGGTTCCGATTTTGCTCCTTTTTCTCTAAAGTTACATCACAAAAAAAAAATGCAAAATTCCTTCCATTAAAGTGCAATATCATTAAAAATGAGGATAAAATGTATATATAAAAATAGCACATTTTTAGGCATGTCAATTCCCCCAAACATAAACATTTCTTATTCTCAAATAACTCATTTATTTTATAAACCAAATGCCTTAGCTTATGGTAGTGGGTCTCATTAGAGATTCCTATAATTTTATCCTATAAATTTGATAATGAAACTTTAGAAAAATTTTAATAACTCAAGTTAGAACTAAGGTATAAGAGTAACTAGTAGCCAAGTTAGGAATTCTGATTTTCTATTCATTTCAAAAATAATTGTAACTTTTCAAATTTAGGATTCCTAGAAGAATTAAAACATAGAATTAAATGAGAACTTTACTAGTAATGATTTGATTTGACAAATCTAAATAAGTTTACAAATCTAAATAAGTTTCTTCCTTTAAATGATTCATGTGAAGCAATTTTTAATTAGGCATCCTATCAAGTTTCTTCTTACTTTCTTTTTTTTTAATTTTTTTCTTGTTTTTTTTTAATTTTTTTCTTGCTTAATTTTTTTCTTGCTTTTTATTTTCTTTTAGGATCATTTTTAATCCTTTCTCTCTTTTTTTTTTTTTAAATTGAGGATTATTATATCTTGATCAGCCTTTAATGATTTTGAACTTTACTATTCTCCTCCTAAAGTTAAAAACTTCTCACATTTCTTCATTTGATAATGTGTATTAGTATAAAAATGATTTTTCATAGAATAAATTATTTTTAAAATCACATTTGATAATGTGTATTAGTATAAAAATGATTTTTTCATAGAGTAAATTATTTTTAAAGTATAAATCTAAGATTCTTAGTGTTTCAAAAATACATTTTTTTCTATTATGAATAGTAAAAGCATATTCCTATCCTTTTATACCAAACATCTTAACTTCAGAACTACCCTTTATCATTAGAACTTTTACTTAAGTTTACTATAACATTCATAGAATAAAAAATATAGTTCTCTAAAGATAGCACCACATACCACAGGTTATGATTAAAATACTTTTTAAATATAGACTATTGAGAACAAATAAAGTCTAGTTTTTAAAATTTTTTCTCCATCCCCCAAACTTAATTTCTTAAACACATCAAAACATTTTACTACAAAATAAGTATGATGAAAGAAAAATTTAACATAATTCTTATTTATAAAAGGGTTATACACATGAAAATCGTGCAGGTACAATTAGTAAAAATAGGTGTGTGTGTGTGTGTGTGTGTAGCAGTAATAGATCTCAAATCAATAGGTATAGCATAAAAATTTCAGAGTAAAAGAACTACTCTAACACACAGAAAATGTTATATATAATTTGGAGCAAAAAGTAAAATAGTGCAGTAACAACTAAAAGGTCCAGAATCTACAACTGTAGTAACATAAATAACATAATGTCTAGTACAATCAAGTTTCTAAAAGTTAGCAACAATTAATGAAAGTAAACACTATTAAACTCAAAATCACTACTCTAAAAGTTAGCAACAATTAATGAAAGTAAACACTACTAGACTCAAAATCACTACTCCTCCTCACCACCACCACCACCACCACCATCATCATAATCATCATCATCCTCATCCATAGCCTTGCGGCATTCAAACATAGGATAATGATGATATGAGAGAAACTCCACACTCCAATCTCTTTTCAGGAAGCTCACGGGGAATGTTGAAATTAGCCTCATAATCACTTTTCTGTTTCAAATATTGTTCCAAAAGTTCCCATAGATCTTCATTATCCCACATTTGAGACTGTACAAAAGTAATATCATTCTGATGCTCTTGATAGTGATCACAAATTTCTTCCCAATTAGCAGAAAGTGGAGCAGCAACACTAGAAGTAGAAGGTCAAGAGGTAGAGGTCAAAAGAATATTTGAAGATTGACCTTTAGAACCAAGTGTAGCATGATTTCCATATATACCCACATTATCCTTATCAATAGGCTTTAGTGGATGTAATAACTCCTCCCAAACTTCAAAATTAATTCCATATCGTTTGCGTATAGTAAAGTTGAGTGATGGGTAACCCAAACCTGCAGTGGAACCTCCAATAGAAGAACTAATGATGGACTTGTAGATGAGATAGCCAATGTCAATACGTTTTATCTTTTGAATGCAGTTGTTCAAAGTGGTTCTCTTCCATGTTACTTCACTTATATGGTTCATAGGAAGAAGTCGGATAGATATAAAATAGTGTCATGCCTTAGATGGAGCATTGAGCATGGAAGAAGAAAAAATTACCTTGTGGTCATTCTTAATTTTCCAAACTCCACGCCCATCGGTCAAAAATGTAATAATCTCGTCAAGCCCCACATCAGTAGGAACAAATTTAGAATAAAAGCAATTTGGTAAACTATGCAACAGGTATAATGTGTTGATCCGATCAGAAGTAAACTCAACTTTATGCTCCTGAAAAAATACCACATCATCAGATGCTTATGAGAATTTTGCATAAAACTCTCAAACATTTGAAATAACTGATATAACAGTAAAGTAGAAGAGACTTTTCCAGTGACGTGCTACAATCAAATTCTTTACATCACCTCCAGGACGTGAAAAGTTTTGTTCAATAATAAACTTCTTTAATGAAAGTAAATCATTGTACTAATCTTGTGCTTTTAAACTTGTAAATTTTCTTTGATAAAAAACCTCCTTCCCCTTTAATCTCTTTATTTTAGGAGCCATTTCAAAATCTAATAAAAATTTAAATAAATTCTAAATATAAGTTCTAAATGCTCCTACAAGCATTTTCCAAGCAAACAAGCTGTCCACCATGGATTTTTTTTCACAATTTCTCCAAATTTTCAAATTTTTGGCATCTTCATAATTTGGAAGAAATCAATGGTGAAAGAAAAAAATTTTTTAGGCAAGGTGTAGATCTTACCCAGAGAAGAAATAATCCAAAATATGTAGGCCCTAAATCCACAAGATTCGCAAGGTAGGAGAAGCCCTAAGGTGCACCGGCAAAGAATAGGAGGAAGAAGAAGATGCTCGAGCAGAAAAATGGCATTGAACTCGCAATTTTCATGGTTTTAGAGGGAAAACTAGAGGTTCTGCTAGTTCGGCGCCTAGGCGCTGGATTTGGATCTTAGGCACCCTGCATCTCAGGTAGCTGGCGCTTAGGTGCCAAGGTTCAGCACCTAAGCGCCAGTGCCCAGATTTTGTGTATTCAGATTTTTAATTAAAATAAAACCAAAACTAAGGCCTCTCAACCCTAATTTACTCAATTCAACATCATTTTAATAATCAATCCTCTTCTAAACTTATCCCAACTTCTATTTACATAAGTACTAGATTCCACAAATATGAACAATCCAAATGATTCAAGCCCACTAACATGACAAATCAAATTCACAAACTTAATATTAACACACTAACATAAACATTAGTTTGATACAAACCAACATATATCAATTCCAAATAGACTTAATTAAGCAAATACAGACACACAAGCACCTACAAATTAGAAGTTGCATTAAATCAAACACACAGAAATATCAGAGCTCCACACATAGCACCCACTACTAGTAATCATTAAAACTTTTATCCTCTACATTCTCATTTATGATCTTTTGGTGCACAAACAAATTATAAAATGAAAAGTTAAGAAATTCTTTTGCAGATCTTTCTCCGATAATCATTAAAACTTTTATCCTCTACATTCTCATTTATCATCTTTTGGTGCACAAACAAATTATAAAATGAAAGGTTAAGAAATTCTTTTGCAGATCTTTCTCTGATCCAGTTGTTCTTCTGATACATCCTTATTAACGCCTCCTAGAAATTTATAGCATGATCAAATTGAGGCTTCATCTACCAATTCAGATGATCAAACTGATAGGAGACATTGCTAATTTTAGTTTAAATAGTTACCATATCCTCTTTATTTTTTTTTATCTTTTCAGCAATTCCTTCAATGCTCAATGCAATAAATCCATTGTAGTAAGTCTAGGCATCTTTGTTTGATGAATTTCTTTCTATTAAATACCACAGTATTTCTACTTTCCATATATCATGAAGCCATAGTCTCTAAAAGAAGAAAAATTGCTTCTTGCACTCATTTCCTCCTCCTAAATGCTCTCACACACCTAGAAGATGACGTCAAGTGATCACCACACGAGTTTATGGCGGTTTTAAAAGGTAATTGCCAGTTTAAACCATAAAGAGGTAGTTTATTAGTGGGTTTTTGAACTATGGTGCATATGTGCCAGATTTTGGTGCTTAGGCGCTGGTCTTATCGTAAACTGGCGCTTAGGCACCAAGTTTTGACACCTAGGCGCCAGTGCCTAAATGAGCACCGCTTAGCCTTAGGACCAATTAACACATATCAATCTCATTTTTTATCATTAAATTAGAGTTTAGAGCCTCCTCTAATAAATTAGTTCTCATTACTACAAAATACGGTCAATAAAACAACAAAAATCAATCCACACAGATAACCATGGGTTGCTTCTCACGAAGTGTTTGGTTTAACATTGTCAGCCCGATGTATCCAATGTTTACTCTGGCTGACCCAACATCAGGACTTTATCATATAAATTCTTGTTTCCACTTAAATAAGATTTCAATCCGTGTTTGTTTACTTTAAATATTCGTTCAATTTTTGGATCTTTAATGTCCACAACACCAAAAGGATAGAATTTTGTTACAATAAATGGCCTCGACCACTTGGACTTAAGTTTTTCAATAAATAATTTTAATCTATATTATATAGTAAAACTTCTTGTCCAGGTTCAAAATCTTTTCTCAAAATCTTTCGATCGTGCCAAACTTTCATCTTTTCCTTCCATTTTTTTGCATTTTCATAAGATTCATTTCTAATCTCCCCAAGCTCATTTAATTACAATAATCTGTTCTCGTCTACATTTCTAATCTCCTCAAGCTCATTTAATTACAATAATCGGTTCTCGTCTAACTTCTGCAAATTATAATTACATTCCTTAATGGCCTAATAAGCTTTATGCTCTAGTTCAACTAACAAGTAGAAAACCTTTCTAAATATGAACCTATATAGTGACATTCCTATAGAAGTTTCATAAGCAGCTCTATAGGCCCACAATGTATAATTAAGTGTCGTAGATCAATCTCTTCTATTAGGATTTACAGTCTTATCTAATATTCTCTTAATTTCACAGTTGGACATTTCAGTTAGACCACTGGTCTGAGGATTATGTGCTGTGGCAATTCTATGTTTAATTCAATATCTCTTAGTTAATGTATCAATTCTTATATTTTTAAAATCACTTACTCCATCTGTAATGATCACTCTTGGCACTCTGAATCTAGTAAAAATATTTTTCTTTAAAAATTTAGCAATGTTTTGATCATCCCATTGGATTAAATCAATAAATTTAATCCATTTAGAAACATAATCCACAACAATTAAAATATACAAGTTTTCAAAAGATTGTACAAATGGTCTCATAAAATCCAAACCTCATACATAAGAAAATTCAACTTCTAAAGTAAAATTTAGGGGCATTTCATTCCTTTTATAAATATTGCCTACTCTCTGATATCTATCACATGTTTTTACATAAATATTAACATCCCTAAATAAATTTGGTCAATAAAATCTAGATTGTAAAATTTTAAATGTAGTTTTATCCACTCCAAAATATCCCCCAAAATCAGATTTATGACATTTTTGAATAATTTCTAGGGTTTCTTCAAATCAGATAACTTGATCCTTACATATCTTATAAAAAAGGGTCATTTTCAAATCAGATAACTTGATCCTTACATATCTTATATAAATAAGGGTCATCCCAAAAGAAAAATTTTGCATCATGAATGAACTTCTTTTGGTAGTATGTTAATCTGTAGGGTAAAATATCACTAACTATACGTATAGGGTAAAATATCACTAACTATATAGTTAACTATATCAGCATACCATGAAACATGCCAATCAAAAATAGTGTATAATTGTTTATGAGGAAAATTTTCATTTATCTCGTCTTGAAAATTACCATAATTTTCCTCTTCAAGCTTGATAAATGATCATCAATTTGATTATCAGATCCCTTTCTATCCACTACTTAAAAATCAAATTCCTACATCAGAAGGACCTATCCAATTAATCTTAGTTTTGCATCCTTCTTCAGCATCAGATATCTTATAGAAAAATGAACAGTATGCACAATACATTTTTCTTCAATTAGATAAGATCTAAATTGATCAAATGCATATACTATTGTCAATAACTCCTTTTCAGTAGTAGTATAGTTACTATGAGCTTCTTTAAGAGTTTTACTAGCATAATATATAACGTTAAAAATCTTATCAAATTTTTTCCTTAACACAGCCCCAATAACATAATCACTCGCATCACACATTAAATAAAATTATTTTTCCCAATCAAATGAAATAATAGTAGGTGTTGTGTGATCCGACCATCAATTACGCAGATATTTAAGGTCCTTAATATGCAATTTAAGGTCTTTAATATGCAAAAAAGTTGACCCAATTTATATTTAGCGGCTAGTGAGAGCAAATGTAATATTATGAAATTTAGATTAATAGTTTTCTCACTAGGGGTACTATGCAAGCATATGTATCGTTGTAAGTAATATAGAGTTTTATTTAAAACTCCTAGTATCGATCCCATAGGGAAGAAAAGAAATAAAATTCGGAAATTTAACTTTAAAAGAACTTTACTTAGGAATGCAAAAAACATCTAAAAAAAGTCAAAATAAAGATACTTTTTCTCTACAAATAATTCATAATCAGTGTAGGATTTCAATTGTTTAGAAGTTTAATTATTGTAATGTAGCAAATAGAAGCATACTTATTCCTTACTTCTTTCGATGTGTAAAGAACATTGGCTAATATAAATTTTGTGTCTGCATGTATAGTACTGATGGGTATATTCTAGTCTCTCACTCCTAGATTATCAACTGTGCCCTCTCTATAGGACATATTAGTGAGCCTTTAGTTCCAATCCCTAGACCAAATTAATAAAAAAGTATAGCATGTCATGCTAGAAGCATCAATTCTACTCCCATCTAATATTATCTCCTTATCTATTTTCACTCTCCCTCGGACAATCACCATGGCTCTTTCCAAAGTGAAATGTGATACTCACTAGTTATATAAATCTTAGCCCTCTTGAGTCTATAAGTTTCTCAACTAATTTTAACAATATCAGTGACTAATTTGTAAACTAAGTGAAGGATCAGCGAAAATATCATCACAAATTTTTGGAATAAAAAAAATTATAAACAAATCAAAACCACTACTTGATTACTTCATATTGCAAGGAGAAGGAAATAAAAAT